CTTATGTCTCTTAATTGTTACAGCTTCTTGGAGTTGCAGAATCTAAAGGTGAAAAACTGGTTTTAGAAATGGCTTCCATCAGTTACAGCAGTATGAAAAAGGCTGCACAAAACTTCATGCAACAGATAGCAAGGAAACATCTGCAGGACTTCTTACTGAACCATTAGGAAATGGTTCACATTCTCACAGATGATGTTCACATTTTTTAAAGTGTCTGCAAGCTTGCATGCTTTCCTAAAGAAAATTCATTTTAGACTAGATATGGACTCATAAAATATCTAACATAATGGATGTGGGAGAAGACACGGAAATACTGATATTTAAAGTAACTTAAGGCACCTCAGTAATCTTATTTGGTAAATGTTGTCAGCTAAATGCCCTACTGCCAGGGTATGGTACAGATGTAGATTGGAAGACAAAGGACAAAAGTGAAATTAATAAATAAACCAGTATTTTTCAGACACTGATGATTAGCAATATACTTTATGTTAATAGATGTCTTAAAAACTCTACAGTTGTAGACAGTTACTTAGAACCTAGGCAGGAGCTTAATTCTTTAGTTGCAGCTTGGCTTGTTTCTTTTTCTAAACAATTTCCCTATCCTGTTCAAATTGGTAAGCCTAGATTGCACCAAGTGAGAGCTAAACTGCCCTTTCTCTTAAATGCCATGGAAGCTGAGCCTGTGCAGCCCTCCCACAAAATACTAGCATAGCAGTGGTGCACAGCTACCCAACTCAGAGCCTCCTCGGGGATACTGCTTCAACTAAAGCTAACTGCGCAATTGCCAAATGTTTCTGGATTCCATGTGACAGGAAATCAGGACATCAAAATTTATTTTCACTTGTCTGAGATTTGAAAGCTGATCTTGATACAAAAAAGATCAGTCTTACCTCACAGTTGATACTGGAGTGCCTCTCATACACTGAGCTTGGACAAACAAGGCTGTGACTTATTCACAAAAATAGTAGAATTTTAGTCTAGCAACTGGTAGAGGAAAAGCCAAGCGTTTGCAGGGCTCAGTTTAAAATCATCATTGCCACACCCCATGACAAGATGGGGAAACTGCCCCACCTAAGCAAGAGAGCTAGTATAGATTCTTCCTCCTTCAAAACCTCATACGATCAGTAAAGTTTACTGCTTTGTTATTTTCAACTAGTTTCTCTTGGTTGACTTGGATGAAATAGCAAGGCATGTGCACTGGTACATAGAAACTGCAGTTCTTGGCTTTCTGGACATTGATTGAAAACACATTTATGTAGCCTGCACTTTCTTTGTGTGTGTGTAGGGATGGGACACAAGGAAAAATTCAGTTTAAAATTCCCTGGAAGCCACATGGGATTGCTTAAATAAAGACTAGCTGAATCAAGCAGAGCTTGACCAGTTTTTGTTGTATCCTGAAAAGGGTAAGCCCAGGTAACCTGACATTAACATAGAGGGCACTGTTTCTGATTGGTCAGATTTCCACAGCCTGTTCTTTCACATAGTATGCACCAGCTTCTGTCAGAAGTGGAAGTCCCTTTTTCAGTGGAATATTTAGTAAAAACCAAAATGCTGATATCAAGTGCATCTAAAGAAAGCACATTCCATTACGGTATCATACTTGGTGCTTAACCCCATTAGAGCAACTCCCATTTTTGGAGGACTAGGTCAAAATGTTCTACTTAGTTCTGTACAGAATAACACCTAGCTGGTGAAACCAGACAATTAAAGGATGTGCTGTAGAGAGAGAAAGGTGGAAAAAGTCACAAATCTCATTTTGCAGAGAGTCCTTCATAGTTTGTTATTTGGGATTTTTTTGGTGGTGGATATTTGTTGTTTTTTTTTTTTTTTAGCTGCCTTTCTTCACATTCAGTAGTCATCATCAGGATAAGGAGGCACAGCAAGAACTTCCCACATTCCTAAAATGCAGTTGCTTCTGCTACTAACAAAGTCCTCAAAGGTGATGAGAGGCTGGGCACACACCAGCTTTCTGTAGTCTGGTACAGAGTAGCTAAGTCCCAGGCTTACTGCTTTCTCCAGTGCAGGAGCTCAAAACACTGACATACGATCACAGAGGACTGTCCCAGGTGACTAGCTGGTGTGGTGACACAACTGTTGCATGGACACAGCCAGTGGCTGGAACAGAAATCCAGCGGATTTTGCTGTCTCTTGTGTTGGAGAAGCTTTTGTTTGCCATCTCTCTTGGCATATTCTGCAGAAATCTATCACTTGTATTACAAGTAATACTGCCACTGAGATAAGGGGCGGTGCTTCTCTTGACACATCTTCAGTTGCCCAAATTGTTGGCAGACTTTCCATTTAAACAGGTGCTGTAAAAAGAAACAACTGCACTTAAAAAAAAACCAAAAAAGTCCCCTAGAAATAATTATGTCCTAGAGTTGTTTTTCCTATGTAACCAGTGGAACAAGCTGCAAAGCTATGGAAAAGAGATATTCATGCTTCTGAGAGAGAATCAGACAGTGAGAAACCCTGCATCTGCCTGAGTACCTGAGACACCGGGGACCCTCTGCCCTTGTGCCACAGACTGAAAGTGCCTCTGTGCAAATGCAAGAAGTGGTCTCCTGCTAATATCTCCCTCCCTTGTCACTGTCACCTTCAGAGAACAAGATGCACAAAGCCTGGATGTGGTTAAGGGAAACAATCTTCCTGAAGCTCCTCTATAGGCAGGGATGGGATCTCTCCAGAGACCAATTCAGAACTGCTCCAGCTCTGGATTTCTCTTCACTGAGCATCCTGCTCCACTGACTGTAATGAGTGTTCGGAGAGACTAACCCCACCAGAATGAAGTTACTGTTCTTTGCAACCTGCCTCCTCACGGTTTACAAAGCCTTTTCCTTTTAACAGCAAAGCTGGTCTCAGTAGGCTCTCTTTTGGTTTGTAGTATTCAGGATTCCCAACCTCTATGAAACAATCTGACCTTCTTCATAAAGTGAAACTGCTAGAAGCAGAAACATATTTACATCTGTATTTAAAAGCGAAATGTTGTGGCAGCGTGTCCCTATGGGTACACCTCTGCAGTGCCTTACCCCTCATCTACTACACACAACTTGTTTGAAAATATAAAATGACGACTAAATTAGGCTAGGATTTATCCAAGAACCCATCTGTTGTCTCACAGTAATATCAGCTATTTCTAAATTATTTCTGACAGTTACTGGTTTCCTTTTTTATTAAGGAAAAACAGAATAGCAACAAACCTGGACTGATAGAGACTTAACAGCCTGCAGAAACTCTTTGCCTCAGTACTCAACTACCATTATTCTTAGATAAGCTTTTTTTCATAACATCTAGCTTAAATCTTCTTTGTTCCAGCCTGTTGTGCCTTAAGTGCTGTGTCTGTTGGGTTGGGACAGCAAATAACTTGTCCCATCCTCTTTAAGGACTTGCTAAAGAGCGGGGTTACTGTGTCCTTAATCAGCCTTTCTTTCTCCAGCTTAAACATACATAACCAGTCTTTCATCAGAGATCACATTTGCTAGCTCATTCTCCCTTCTCTGGTATTGGTCCAAGTTGCCCTCAAATTGGGATGCCCAAAACATTTGGCTCTGTCCTGGTGGCAAGACAGGCTTCAGCATAGCTATATAACAGGAAAGGAAGGGCAGCTTAAGCCTGTATGCTCCATGTCCCTTGTTGATTTGTTATGTCCTTTGGCCTGAATTGCTGAAGAAACTTCCGGGAATCGAGACTCTCAGGCTGCCTTTGGCAACACTTGCAGAGCTCAAGGAAAGGGTGGACTTAAGCACCAGGGCTACCACTTCACGTATTTGAGTTTATAATATCTAGCAAGTCTAATCCAAAGGCTTTGTGGTGATCTTGAGTATTGAAGCTATGAAGTTAAGTCACTCTTGAGACAAATATGGTAAAATATTTTTAATACTTACAGTTGATTACTCCATTGTTTTCATTTAGCTGGACATCTGTTGAAACAAATGCACTGTTTTAAGCATGTAGGATAAGTAACTATCATCTTTAGCCAAACTGAATTAATATTAAGCAACATCCACCAAAGTTGTGTTCAATGTATTAAGTGCTCTTTGGACCACAAAATGCAGTCCATACTCTTATTTGCTTACAATCTAGGTCACCACTTCAGCAAGGATCAGTTTAGGGGCTTGAAGCAATAGGTCTGCTCCATGTTTTGGGACAGACATGGGTGATTTCTGAAGGAATGGCATGGCTCCTAGCACAGCTGCTGCAGATGCTGGGCAAAATCACTACCCTGCTTTTTTCTGAAGCACCTGGGCTTGCTAGCCATGAGGAAGAGGGCATGAATTGAAAATGTGGTTTGTCCCTGTTCATGAGAAGTGTTGTTGTCCCTGCTCCCTCTTTTTACATGTTACCTCTTGTATACCTGCAAAGTGGCTTACACTAAGTACTCAGATACTTCATCTGGGTCACAAGATGTCTTTCAGAGCTACCCTTTGTTCTCTCATGCCAACCATTGCAGAGTCTTGCACATGGGCAGAGGCATCAATACAAGGGTATGCGTGTATAACATGGAGCGATAGCGAGACATGCTTTATTTCTAACTTGTAGAAAGCTGCTCGAACCCAGTGGTATCTTGAACCCTTATTCGTCCAGCCAGTGACTCTAAAGCTGTCAGGATTGATTTATCCTCTGATTTCTGCTTTGGATCATGCTAAGCAGAACAAACTACTGACCCCAGTCCTGCTCCATGTAGGAGCATCCCCTCCATCTGTCCAGGAACAGTCTGCAGGCATCACATCTGAGAAACTATGGCCTGAAAAGGCGCAAAGTCTGAGTTAACCTCATATCAAACAATTATTAGCTCCTGTGAGGCTCAGGCAAAACAGGAGAAAATGTTAAAGAATAACATGTCCTACATCTGTCCCAGGTCTTTGCTAATAATACGATTTCCTGCTGTTGTATGCAGGCAGCTTACTTGTACCTTCTAACCACGCGCTGGATGACATTAAATATTTTGGCAAAAAAAACAAGAATTCTTCAGGTTTGGTCATGCAAATGAAAGGCCTCATTACCTGTGTAGGACACTAGTCTAGAGGACCTCCGTCTCCTAAGCCAGCAGATTACGACAGCTAGAATACCTATCAGAATGATGACAGAAATGATGCCAGCTGCCTGAGCACCTTGTCCATTTTTTTTCAGGTTTTTGTGACTTTCTGTGCTAGACCCATTGCTTTGCTTCCGTTGAGTGTCTAGAAATAAAATAGAAAAATAATGTACCAAGGTGTAAGTTTTCACATTTCATACCAGACAAATATTTGACCATATTTTATACATGAAAAGAAATTCTGAAGGACTAAATATTTGTGCTATTCATATCTCTGTGACTCTGGTGGCATTCCTTCTGAGAAAGGCACATCTCCAGCTTATTCTGTCTAATAATACAATGGCAGTTTTTTCCTCCCTGTTATCATATTGCATGAATCCCTTTCTTCCTTTTTGTTCTTCTCTTCTGCCAGTCTTGGGAGACTCTATGTTTAAGCTTGTATCTAGATTCAGCTGAAAATAAATTTACACAGAATCTATAATACAAATTTCATGGTATTCATAAAAGTGGATGAAAACCTGTTTTCCTGATGTTAGTGATGAATTTCCACTGATGGCTGCAACTTGAAGGTTTCAAATCACATCTCTTAATGTTTCAAGTATGGCAGTGCTTTTAGAAACCAACAAAAAATAGTAAGATGAATTCTGATTTCTCCAGGATACAATATGAGAAAACATCATTAGGAAACTAATGAAAAGTTACTTAGTTTGCCTTTAATTTGAGATGACAGTAAGGGTATGCTATCATACAAGCACTCTCATGCAACTTTTGCTCATGTGCACAGTTTTTGTTCCTGGAAATAGTTAATATTATTGGGCTATGTTTGTGGGATCAGTATCATTAAGTCCACAATATGTGATTCCTTGATGTGTTTAGGTAAACTAACTGTGGGTATCCATCTACAGTTATGCAGATCATCAAACCTCCTTGCACAACAGTGTAGAAACCTGTGAGAGAATGGTGTGGCAGGAAGGAGAACCAGTAACAGCAATAAGCTGTCCCACTCCACATAGCTTCTCTACACAGCTTTTTGGAAATCATGAAATCTGCTGTTGGCACTATAGTTAAAACTTTTTAATAGCTTTTTTTTTTTTTTAATAGCTTTCTAGTTTTGTGAAGAGTTGAGTGGCTAATACTTGTTTTTACTACTGATCGCTCATATCAGCAATAAATAGAATATTATACTTGTGCTAGTAGGCATATTGTTCTATTGGGCTAATATTACCTAGTTGGTATAGGCATGCTTTAAATAGTGCATTGTACTAAACTGAATTTTGGAGACTGAAAACAGAACTTTGAATCTAGGCAGAGTAAAAAGCAAATGTGAGTGCTGCAAAGCAGTGGGGTAGTGGTTTGGGAATCATGGATCTCTGGTATGGTGCCCTCTGAAAAATAACCTGACTCCCATGTCGTCATGTTCCTGATGAACGAACGGGTAAAGCCTAGTGACTGCCTTGGATACAAGAGCTTAGTACCATTGTCTTAACACACTTGGTGGGGTATTCGCTTCAGTGTCAAAGAAATAAACATAAAATCTATGGGTAAACATAACTAGCTTGAAACAAAACCTAAGCTCTTCGTGGCACTTTCTGGAACTACTGAATTAATGCATACCCTTTGCTAGGTGTGTATCTGCACACAAAGACACACTGGTTGATATTCCTGTAAGCTAGAAAACATGAAGCAGCATGAAGGGACTTACAGTTGGCTGATAGATTTTCCTGTAGTATCTTATTTTCTATGGAGCACTCTATTTGCATGTTAGAAGTGGCTTTAACCTTCAATGTGCTAAAAACGCTGTAAGTGCCATTGTTGTTGGGGATGATCATTAGCTCTGATGGAGGCAGGTGGCTGTTGTCAGTTTTATTTATCCAATAAACATTGGGCTCTGGGTATCCGTTGCCAGACCTGCAGCTGAAAGTCACCTCCTCTCCAGTGCTGTCACTGTTACTTATTGGCCCACTGAGTATTGGTTGGCTATAACTAGCTGGAGAGCAGGAGAAAAAGAAATAGTTGTTGACATGTTGAAATGTATTGAAAATACAAAATTTTGATGTGGTTTCTGAAGCAGAAGGTCTGGGTTTCACACCAGCCTCATGACTTGAAAGAGAAACACCGGCAGGTTTGGTATGTAAGCCAGAGAGCTGAGAGAATTACTGGAAGGGCAGAAAGATGAAGCCAAACCCATAGAAAGAAGGCAACTTCTTAAGCTGCTGTCACCCAATCACATGCAAGAGCCTTTATGTAAAAACCAAGATGAAACCCCCGCCACATGGGATAAACAGCTGTTACAGATATTTTTCCAGTTCTGTATTCCCTGTCTGTAACATTAAAATTAAACAGACTACATTTCAGCAAATGGCTGAAGCATGTTTCAAAGTTAATGGTATGCTTAAATATGCTATTGAAATGGCATGAATTTGGAAAGCTGGAATGAGAATTGGGCAAATATGTGCAAGTGATAAAAATTCTTACCTGCTAAACTGAGAACCACTTCTGCCTGATGAACCATGCTGGTATATTCAGCTTTCTCCAGTACTACACATTTGTATGTATGTTCATCACTCTGGCTGACATTTAGTAATAGCAGAGAAAAATCACCATTTTCCAATCTATCCCAGAATAACTGAGTCCTGTTTTTAAAGTGAATACATTGTTCACTTTCATTGTCTTGACCAGAGATCAGTGCATGTACAACTGTACACTCTTCTTGATCATCAGCTATTTGCCAGTATACCCGTAGATTTTTTAAGTGCAGTTCTCTTCCTCGATAAATGCAACTCAATGTAGTGTTATCTCCAAGTTTACTGACAATTATCTTTTTCTCCAGTGCAATCACTACAAGATTAAAACAGGGAGAAAAAAGGAAGGTTATGTGGAAAAAGTTTCACTCTTTTTAAGCATATTCTACTGCATCTGTGGACTCCAGTATTAGTATCTATACCAGGTAGATGAGCATGCTCACTTTATAGTCATTCCTACCTCCTGACGTGCCAGTGACTAATTCTCCCCATGTCTGTCTGTTTATTTTCCAAAGGGACCTTTTGCAATATAAAGCCTTCTGGTTATTTCCTTCTCTGAGGACCAGTCAGTCTAAGCATTGCCAGCCCCATGGATACCTGCATGTTTCACTTTGCTCATTGACTGCAGACACATATTCAAGGCCTAATGATTTAATAATAACATTTATTTTTCTTTTTAAATTAAGAAAAATGCCAAACACCACCAGGTAAATCACAAGAAATATAAACACTGATAAGAAAAAGAGTACTACCATTATTTTGAGACCCCAAAAATTATAGAGGGGGAGTGAAAGAAGTGTTTCTCAAAGTGGGCATGTCATAGCAATCATGTTTTATTGCTGCCCTTGGTGTCACCTTCTCAACAAACACGCCCAGCTGGGAAACCAGCATGTCCAGGTACCTCTGGTGACACATTCATGAGACGTTTACAACCTTGAGGTAGGCCAGTATAGTATCTGGCTTTCAGGGCACTTTTCCTAGCCTCCAGGCATGAGAAAGGCGGGCTCTCCTTCTGAGGAGCAAGGCAAAGGCTTGAGCTGGCTGACAAGTGATGCAGAAAGCGCAGGTCAGCGACTCAGAGGGCTAGGGTAGTGCTGACCACAGCCTTCCTTCTGAGAGGGATGGGTCACGTCTCCTCCCTGCCAGCAGCCAAAACCTCTCTGCTGCATCTGGTTGCTGAGACCAAAGCAGTGTGCACATTGTGAATGCCAGGCTGGAGGGTGAGGGTGGGCTCAGGCATGCGGTTGAATGGGAGACATTACAGCTGGGGGAAGGGGTTATGTGGGTGGGTAAAGGTGACAGGAGTGAGGGTTTGGAGATTTGAAAACAATGCATGGTGAGGTGGGAAGGAGGCAGCAATGCTCAAGGCGGGCATGTCTTTGTGTTGGTGTGCTGGACTCAAGAAATAGTTCATCTACACATCTGCATTGTGCACCCTGTCTTAAAAATACCACTGAAGCAAACACAGTACTTCCAGGGAGGAAGGTAGTTATGTTCTCTGGGCCCTTATCCTTGAACATGCTTGACCTACAACAAGGCTGCTACAGCTCAGACTTAGTAGGGAAACCCCTCATAGCAGCACGAAAAGTGAACCCTGGGAAGACAGGCAGACCTCTGTCACTGGTGTTCTTCAGGAACAGGCCAGCTGGCATCTACTGAGACTGTATCTGGCACAGTTTGCCCCGATTTTGGGGAGTTTCCTTGATGACTTTGTTGGGTCCTTTTCAGTGATCAAGCAAGAACAGAGGAGAGACAACTCTTAAAAGCATTTAAATATCACCAGGTAATGCCATTTAACCTTATGTTTGATTTGAAAAGGATTTTTGGAACTGTAGTAGAAGACTTAATACTGACTACTAGATACCATGATGTGTAATTCTAGCCATAATACAAGTAGGGATGTTATCCAAGCATGTTAGATCTGCTTATCAACAGCCCTTATTACACCACTTCTCAGGCCTTTTGTTGGCAGAGATAAAGGTGCAGAGATGTCTGTGAAGCAAGCGGAACAATCTGAGCAAAAGCATCCATAAGGTCCTTGCTATTCTCTGTACCGAGACTGATAGAAACAGATTTTTTTCTTTCTTCTCTGATGCATGTCAGAGAAACATTTCACACCAA